CTCATTAACTCTCCACAAATGTGCGGAATTATTTGTAGCATGATACAATATATAAAATGTATACCACATGTATCTATTTTAATGCTCTTTATTTTAATCTCTCTAAAGAGACTTATTATTACGAATTATTACAAAAATGGAATATTTAATGATATCTCTAAAAATAATGTGATTGACTCTCTTTTCTTTTTGAATGATGGCGGAAAGAAAAATTATAGTATTGTTTTAAGAATGATCTTAAACGTGACTGGATTTCATTTTTCTCTCTTTTTCCTAAGTGCCAATGTTTCGAAAAAGAATGTTGAATCTCTTGAGTAAACTTTGAGAGAAAAGGGAGAAAAAGTATTCTTAAAGTTGTGAAAGAAGAAATACTGTGATTTAAAGAGCTGATGAGAATGCGATAACTTAAACGGAAACTTTCCTCAGCCGCATCAAAAACATCAGTGATGCGACAAATAGTAGATGGATTGAAGAGAAGTTTTTTTTTTCTTTTTTCCCCTGAACTTTTAGAGTTTTAGTCATTTCTTCAGTGTATATATTATAGAAGTATAACTAAAAGAAGAATTCGTTATTTTACCTATGTTGAAGTTTTTAAACTAATTGCACATATAAACAAATGATCCAAAAAAGTCTTTTATTGTAAAATTCATAAAAATTAATAAATAATAAAACATGCAATATTTAATAAAATGTCTTATATTTTTGTACTTCTCTAATTGTAAGCTACTTTATAGTATTAATTTAAGGAGCTACTAATGCTTTATTAAACATTTCGAGACAATTATGTTTGTTTGAGCTTATTTAAAGTTAGATCAATGCATTATTTTTTCATCGAATTTTGACGTTACGAATCACTTGATACAACTGTTACAATAAATCGATGCTTCGTTGGCACGTTACCTTATATCGATGTCATGTGATTTCCATTATAATTAATGTCGAGATTTATAGTCACCACGTTGGCGTAGTGTCGAAGACCAGAAAATGAAGTCTGAAATCATATTTTGTACTCTCACTTCACTTTAATAAAACATAGATCACTTGTTGTTACTTCGAATTTCAACAGTAATAAAAAATGCATCATTAAGTAGTGATATTCATTGTATTTTTATACAATCCATAGTAATCAATAATCAACAGAAAGTAAGCTAAAAAATCTCATATGTTTATGTATAAAGAATAATGTTTTACAATGTACTTTTGAACAAAAGAAGTGAGGGAATTAATTCTAAAGAAATACAATAAATTCTGGGTTTTTTTTTTTTGGAATTTGCACCCAAATTCCTTTATACAAAAAAGGTATTTTTTGCATGTATACAAGGAATAGATGCAAATAATGTTAACTTCGTTATTTGTATGTTTTTATTATGAATTTAACATATGTGTAAATCAGGTAAGGATTGTGGAAGGTTTATCTGTTCTCCTTGCCATTCTTTTCTTAAGACATTACTAAATAAATTCAGTAATACGTAGTCAAAGATCAACTTATTATCTCTCTCAATTGGATTATTCTAAACTATTTAACTTTTTCCAAATGCGCGAAGTTGGTTGGTTACACCAAGTAAGTAATCTCATGTCCTGTATAAATGTTATGACAGTAATGATTTAACAAGGGGCTTATCGGTAGAAAGCAAATTCTGGAACCCCAAGATGGTCAAATGTGAGGCAAAATTATACGATCCTGAGACAGGTCCAAATTACCTCACTAGCAGCTTCAATACACCGCATGTGTCACTTCACCGTTCATCGGCACTTGGATGTAAAGGGATTGTATTTACAATAATCCTAAAACAGTCTGCTTTCAACTTTATAACTTCGGCAGATTTAACCAAATCAGTGATACTAAAAGATTTTTTCACCACGAAATCTTTTCTGACTAAGAGATTTTCTCCATATAGCTAATTCTTTAAACAGTTTGAATATGGAAGAAAAGAAGAAAAAAAGACTGAATACGTAAGACTAATTTTTGTTTAATTCGATAAATGAAACTGTTTGGATGTAATTTTCATTGATAATCTTATGTTAATGGGAATTTTAGCTAAATTTACCTCTGAATCATTGAATTCAGAAAGTTTTTTCATGCATCTGTTTTTTTATATCAGAGTACATCCAGGATGCAGACTCACAGAGATAAGTTAAAGTAAAGAAAGTCAGTATTTTTATTGCACCCTTACCAATAGCATTTTTCTTAAAGTTACTGCACCCAAAACTCAAATCCGGAAGTACTACAAATACGAAAAAACTAATATCAATGTAAGCTAAAAACTATCCAAAACAGTTAACTTAAAAAAGCAATTTATCTTAGAAATAATAATATAAATCAATATATATCAATATATATATATATATATGATTTATATAAAACAATATAAATCAATGTATAACCTGAGAGCAGAGAAATAGTAATAATATAATAATAATGATATATACGAGGGAGCATGAGGAAGGCAGTATTCGGAAAGTTGTCAAAGTGTCAATGATGAAGAGCGCAGTGGCCGATATCCTTCATCAATGATGATCTTGATGAACTTGTATGGTGGCACACACACACGTGATGGAGAACCATCGCTTCACGATTACGGAGCTGAGCAGACATTTCCCCCTTATATCACGATCCTTGTTGCATGAGATTGTCACTAAGTATCTGTAGTTCAAAAAAATTTTGCCAGGTGGGTGCCAAAACACCTGACACTCGAACACTACATTCAACACTTAGTAGCAACACTGTCATTTCTGTAACGGTATCACGATGACGCAGATGAGTTCCTCAACATGGGTGGAGATGATTTCACACTTTACTCAGGAAACCAAGTACAAGTCAATACATTGGTGGCATAGTGGATCTCCGGTCAGGACAAAATTCAAACAGACGCTGCCGATGCGGAAAGTGATGTGCAACGTGTAATGGAACAGGAAGGGCATTCTGCTAATTAAATTCCTTCCACGCTACTGTAAAACACTGCGGAAATTGCGACGCACCATTAAAAAAAAAAAAAGATGAGTTAAATGCTTACGGCAGGTGTTGTGCTTCCCCATTATAATTCTTGTCCACATATGGCTCGACTCACATCAGATGTTTTGACGGAAATTGGCTGGGAGTTGTTTGATCATCCAAGTCACTTTCCTGATATTGCTCCCAGTAATTTTCACGTTTTCTTGCAACTCAAGAAAGCTCAGTCCTTCGGTGAAAGTTTTGACAAAGACGAAGAGCTGAAGAGATATATCACACGCTGAATCCATTCACAGGCGGAAGAGTTTTACGACAAAGGGATACAAAAGTTGAGCACATGATACGACAAGTGTGTTATTTCTAGCGGTGACTATGTTCAAAAATAGCTGAAACATTGTTGTACTTGTTAATGAATATGTTCCTGAAAGTGCGAGTTCAATTTTTTTTAAAATAAAATAGGGAGACTTACTTTCTATATATATATATATATATATATATATTTATATATATATATATATATGCACCTCGTTATATATATATATATATATATATATATATATATATATACTCCCTGTTTGTGAAAATTGCAACACCACGAAGGACCTACGCGAGTAAGCTGAAATTTTCAGGAAATGTAAAGTAGGGCATGATATGCAAATGATTAGAATTGCAGACCGGTAGCGCATGCGTATGCTGAGCAGCGCCCTCTGAAGGGCGGATCGAACCGAATATAATAAGACGGCTGTAGCGAGGCGTGTATGATTATCAGTGGTTATATGCTAGTGTAAACGTTAACTGAATCTTTACTATGCCTTGTCGACGAAAGGGAGCGAAATTTGAGCAAATTTCGGAGTTTGAACGGGGCAAAATCGTCGGCCTTCGTAAAGCTGGGTTGTCTTATCGTGCAGTAGCCACTCGTGTCAGCGTAACAGCAGCACAATCATGCGTGTTTCGAAGCAGTGGACGGACGAGGGTCGGACAGCTCGGAAATCCGGGAGTGGAGCCCGAAATGTGACGTCAGCTCCCGATGACAGACGCCTGGTTCGAATGGCTCAGACGGACCGCACAGCTTCTTCAAGACAATTGGCAGCACAGTGGTCAACAGCTACAGGTGTTTCATTGTGTGCTTCATCAATTCAGAGACGTCTACTGCAGCGTGGGCAGCGCGCAAGGATTCCTTTATACATGATTCCTCTCACGCAAAACCATCCCCACCTGCGGCTACAATGGGCCAATGTGCATAGGAGCTGGCGTGCTGATTGGCAGCAGGTCGTCTTTTCTCACGAATCCCGCTTCAATTTGTGGCATCATGATGGCCGAATTCGTGTCATGCGCTATGCCGGTGAACGGCACATTCCGGAGTGCATTATCGAACGCCACAGTAGACGAACACCCAGAGTTATGGTCTGGGGTGCCATAGCATATCATGGACGATTACAATTGCTACGAATTGTGGGCAATTTGAACAGTACCCGATACATAAACGAAGTTTTACAGCCCCAAGCTATTCCTTTCCTGCAAGGATTGTCAGTGGCTGTATTTCCAGCAGTATAATGCCCGTCCACATGTCGCCAAGACTGTCAAATCCTATCTTGATTCGCAGCAGGTACAGCTTCTTCCTTGGCCTGCGTATTCGCCGGATATGTCACCGATTGAACATGTGTGGAATATCGTTGGGAGGCGTCTCGCTCGTGATCTTCATCCTGTTGTTTCGACAGACGAAAGTTGGTTGCGCATACAAACAATATGGAATACTTTTCCATAGGCAGATATTCAAAATTTGTTTAACTCCATGCCGCATCGTGTAGCAGTCTTATTGTGGCGCGTGGTGGCCACACAAAATACTAATTTCTATCTCTTTTAATTGTTTGTTTGGTTTGAAAATGTAATCATTTATTTGTACCATTACCACTCAACTGTATATTAAATTTCAATCAACTATGATGCTTCCTTCATGGTGTTGCAATTTTCACAAACAGGAGTTTATATATATATATATATATATATATATATATATATATTATATTAATAGTAATGCACCTATGCCAAAGGTCATACCATGATGAAAACATTGGTTTTACTCTGATCACCGAAGTTAAGCATCATCGGCGTGGTCGTACTTGGAAGGGTGACCACCTGGGAACACATCGTGCAATTGGCATTTTAATGCATCTAAGTCGTAGCTTTTAGTGTTTCCACGCCAAAGGTTTGGTGTTGAAATCCCGAGTTGGGCAATGTAGCCTCAGCTTTTTATCACTTCAGGGTTACGATTAAAGATTACCAGACTTGCTTCGTAACTAAACACTGTGGTGTTCGTGTCAGACTGACCACCTGACCAGGACATTTGCTATTGCACTTCATTGTTTAAGGTCACGAATTCCGAGATGGGCACAGTAGGCTTTTGTCCTCATGGCCTGTTACACCAGAGTTTATTTTAGTATTAATACATACAGTAATACGTTTTATATTAATTTAACACATGTATAACATTTATCATTTTTAATTAATACCAACGTGTATACCAACAAATTGTATTATTTCATTTAACACAGTTTAAGCTGAAAAAATGTCTGAAAGAGATTAGTACGCTTATGTTTGTCCAGACAAGCATTAATGGTGCAAAGGTTTTGGACATTCAAACTGAAATTACAGTATTAACAATAATTTTAAATGAAAATCAAAAGATAGGCAACACAGGTAAAAAAGACACCCAAATCAACTTAGGGTTTTTGAAAAAGATAAAACAAGGTTACTTCTACATAATTTACCAAAAAAAAAAAATATAAATTCAAACGGTGTTTCTGAAATTTAACTGTTTAAAGACTAAATGATATGAAAAGAAACATTTTGTAAAGCCACGTCTCCATTAAACATAATCAAATATTACCGAAATTCCCGAGTCTAGGTGCTTTCATTTTCAAGTTACATTCCACATGCAAGTATACATGTGCACAAACACTTAATACTCTATTTAAATATTGAGTTACTTTCTAATTTTTTCAGTTAAAAATCTGAATTTTCATATTTTAATTTTCAGTAAATCCTTATTTTATTTGTTCAAATCTTATTTTTTTTAAAAATTTTCCTATATAACTATTTTTTGCTATACACTATTATCAGAATTAAATTGATTGTCTAAATATAAGTTCAAATATTCGAATACATTTGTAGAACAGTGTTTTCAGGTGCCGAAATGGAAGATAAAAATATTTTGTTAATAAATCAAATCAACCAGATACAGGATACAAGTTGCGGTAATTTTATACTTATTTATAAGACTAATTGATCGCATTTCCTGGATCTGTAGACTACATTGTTTGGCATGGAAACACTTTTTTTCTGAAGAAGTATAGCAAATTAATTATATATAGGTTATCATCAGTAAACTTCTACTGCTTGTATTTTCACAAATTCAGTTTATTTGTTTTATCTGCTTAGCTGTGTTAATATTTTTTAGCAGCCAATAATTATAAATAACAAAATAGCACGCAATTGTATGGTATGATATATTTGAGGAGAACTTGGCTTCTTAGATCCACATTCTCTCCAATCTCTAAAATTTAGAGTACCGGTAAATTGTTTTAAAATTTGCCCAATGCACATGTAAAATACTTACATTACAACATATCTACTGTAAATAAACACAAATTATAATATTAAATTTGTATTGTTTACATTTATAAAATTGAAGTTTACAGAAATGCATGAAATGCGGCAAATCATAATCTTAATGATCTGTGAAGTAGGCGGGTGTAGCCCAACTATCCAGTTCCAACGATTTTGTCGTGGATTGCAAATATTAATTCCAGTTGTGTATTTTTAAATAATGGATATAAATAAGTTTTTAGGAATATCACTTTTATAATAATAATTGTTATGATTTTTATGGTAGGTATTTTGCTCACTGTTCTGAGATCAGAATTTCTCATGGACCTTAAAAATGTGTCTTATAATTAAGTTTTGTGCACCATCTAAATAATTGATGCTCGTCTTTGCTGTTACCTTCTCAAATGGGTGGTGTAAGTAATTTCAGATTTTATTTTCAGTGGGAAATAAGAATTTTTTATTTCTACTTAATTTAGACTTGTGTGAGATAAGGGGAGATATTATGCCTGGCATTATCATTGTTTGTATACTTTATTTATCGTTTGAAAGTAAGATATTTACCTAAAACTAACACACATCCAAAGTAACTGAATGGTTGAGTAAGCAAAGGATTATGTTTCCTCTAATAAGAATGTCAGGAAATTTCTTTATTCGTGCAAATGAAATTGTTTTTGTTGTATAACCCCGTATAGCTACTTGACATTAGGCAAATAAATTATAACTAAGGACTATGTAACGTTAGTACTTGAGATATGAAATCTGTTTTTTGTGTCGGCAATCACTATGTTATAAACGTAAATGCAAAGTTCAGTGTTGCTTGCAGAGGAAAGATTGTTAAAAAGTGTCGGTTAGAGCACACATCCATCGGCACTTCCATCTTTGTAGATCGGTTGTTAAAAATTGTGATTGAGAAAGTTTTATTGAAAACTTATGGATGTATGAGTGTTATTAGTAAGGTTGTATGGATGACAAAATAATTGATAAAACGAAGTTCAATTTTATTTATTACTTAATAGAATCTACTATCTAATCATAAAATTAATACTCCTTATACTCAAATAATATTTAGATAACACACAAATTTAATTCAGCTATAACTAATATCGTTAGTAAAAATTTAGAGAATAAAGTTTTCGATTTATATAATTATCTTTATGTGAAATCTTGGAAGACATGTGACGGGCTTTCTTTAACATGTACTTTGGGTTCTTTGGGCCATAATTAATGGCAACTATTTTCCAACCATATCCAAGAAGTGAAGTGTGAATGAAATATGCAAATGAACAAGCTTTTAAATATCGGAACTTAGAGTAAACGAGATGACAATGTATGGAAATTTGTGATAGTGGATGGAAATTGGCAGGTAGTTGATGTCTAATAGAGGAATCGTGGTTCAAGTATGATTGAGTTTTACGTGATTGTGATTAAAAGTTATAACAAATAGAATATATTTAATTCAAGTTGCACACCAGTGCATACAAGTAAAGAAGATTGAACTTAATCAAATACACAGTGATTCTCCAAGCTGTAATAAGGTAAGATTGACTATTTAATATTAGAGTCAGTGATTTGACTGTGCAGTTATTCATTGTGGTCTGAATTAGATGAAGTCTTATGAAGTAAGTATATATATATTGTGTGTTGCGTATTTTGCCATCGTAGATGCTCTTATTATAATTATTATAATTTTATTTGTTAAAGGTGTGACAAACCTATACGAAACTTTATCACTAACCTTCTGAGACGTCTTTTTTAGGGAAATTTAATTCCACTACCTATTTCCAATCAGCTCCAAAAAGAGGACAGGATTCATTGTTATATATGCAGATTAGATAAAGTATTTAAGTCAAACGGAATAGTAAAGTAAAAAGCAGTAGGAGAGAGAGATTGAAGCAGAAAGGTATTATAGTGAAGTTAAAGATTTATTATTGAAGATTTCTAGGTGGATAAATTAATCCCAGGAAGAGTTTAGATTCAGTGTGGTAAATATTGATTTATATTTAAAGTCCCATTAAAACTTTATATTAGGAGTGAGATTAAAGTTAAATATTCAATAGGAATATTATTGAATATAATTCTGGGATCTCTTATTGTGGTAATATTTGCGTGATCTATATTCTAATTGTTAATTAATTGGATCATTAAATATTTAAGTTAATTTAAAGGAAAGTACCTTTTAAACCTCATATAGCTAATTTGTATTATTTGTTATTAAAAGTCTTTGATTCTATTTGGGAAAGATAATCAAATAAATTTATTTATAAAAATGGCTACTGGCTCTTATCTGACTCCAAACTATTCTCGTTCTCAAAGTGAGATCCAAGGGGATCTTCACAAAGGTTTAAGTTGAATATCTTAATAAAGTCATATTAAGATAATGCTTGATTCTAGTTTTTTCGTTAATTCCACACCTCTAGCTACCGCTGATACATCGTCTGATATTCTCCCAAAGAGGGGAACTTCGCAGACTTAAAAATATTGACTAACAAGATGTTTCTTAATATAAGGAATTACGAAGAATTTCAAAATGGGGTATGGCTTTTTTATTACTATAGTTACATAAATGAATTTTAATGAAGCATAATGATAATTTCCCACTATTTTCATATCCCTTTAAGACCCAATCCGCACGATTGTGCGGGATAGATATTCATTTATGTTTTTGCTTCTGTGATAGTCGTATGTAAGAAAACCGCGAATTAAACTATTGAAACGGTTTACATAAAGTGTAAAGAGTAACATTTAATCCACAGACGATGGTTGTGGCCCATGTTATACTTCCAGCTGGCAAATCTAGCATTGTTTTCAAATGCAACGAAAACACGTATTCTTTTCATCTGTCGTAAAAAGGTAATTTTCAGTCTATTTCTAATTGCTCAGATACAAAGGTCTGTATTAATGTTTATATAATTGTAAAATAGAAACAAAATTTAACTATACTCTATTGATGTGGCTTTTAGGACTCGGGATTTCGTTAACCGCACGATCGTGCGGGTTGAGAGTTAATTCAGTCACTGCAGCTGTAAAGTTAAGTACTTACCATGCGAATTTTGTTTCTGTTTCGATGATTTTGATAAAACCCTACATAAAAATGAAATTTATAGTTATATAATTAATACCAAATTTTTTGGGGGTCGCAATGAATGAGTCCCTTTTTTTCTTCATCTCTCTCTTTTTTGCAATTAATGACATACATTTGTTGAAGAGTATGGCATTTTTGTCCTCTCTAAAGATATCTGTATCCGTATATCTTCTCCCCTCCAAAAAAAATCCGAGTTTTACGGTGCTAGTTAGTATGGTGCGGATTAAATATATATATAATAGAATTTTCTTGTATCTTTACTATATTTTTCATGGAATACTGTGTTAATTTTTAACCAAAAAAACTTTTTTCAATTGTCTAAAAGGAGAAGAATTTTCACAGAATACATTTTTCAATCGATGAATAAATCAGATTGCACTTAGATCAGAAGTTAGTCATCTCTCGGATGAAGATAACGCTCCAAACAAAACATGTGAATCGCGTATACTGAAAGGAGAATCAAAT